GGTACACTTCATATTCGTCACCGATTCAAATCAGTTCGTCTGTCCTCTCCTCATTGTCCAGCTTTCACATACATTGATTGGAAATAACACAGCTTGAGTCAGGCACCTTAGTCTTCAAGGTGACGTCTTATTTTGCTTTTTAACATTTTAAAGGTGTCTTTTGCAGTAAATCTATAATCCACATCATGTGGGTTTTTTGACTGCTGTGTCCATGGACATTTATTATGCATTGAAGTAAAATGAAATCCTTCACAACTTCCACCTTTTTCCATTTATCATGGTATTGCTTATTGGTCCAGTTGTGAGGCTTTTTCTTGTTAAGGTGTAATGCATACCGAAGGCTATAGTCTTTGCTTCATGTTTTCTTGGCTTTCAGCAAGCAAGGGCGTGTCATCCTGCATGCCATTATACAGTTCAGCTTCTTGAATCACTTGCTCAGCATAGACTGAATAGTACGGTGAAAGGGTATAACCTTGATGCACACCTTTCCTGCTTTTAAACCATACTGTTCCTTGTTCTGTGTAGACTGCCTCTTGGACTATGTGCAGGTTCTGCATGAGTACAATTAAAGCATTCTGGAATCCCCATTGTTTGCCATGTTAATTTTTTTGTGAAATCATGGAGTTAAATGCCTTTGCATTAAGACCTTCCAACTCAAAAGTAGATTCACCTGAATGACCTGGGTGCTTTCGGCACCACTCAAAATGAGAACAGCTGAAAACATCCAATAATTGGTACTTGGAATGTATTAAGTATGAATCTAGGAAAAATACAAATCAAAGATGAAGTGGAACACAGAAAAATCATCCTAGGTATTAGTGAGCAGAAATAGACCAGTCTTGACCACTGAATTAAGATTACCCAGTGATCTAATATGCCAGGAATGACAAATTCAGGAGGCATGGTATTGTATTCAATGTCAAGAACATTTCAAGACATATCCTGAAGTACAGTGCTCGATGACAGGATAATACTCATATGCCAACAAAAACAACATTTCAAGCCTACCAGCTATTCCCCTGAAGATTGAGTCAGAAATCCCTTACAGGGTCACTATGAATTGACTGAATGGCAGAGAGTTTGGTTTTTAAGACCAGCCAATATAATTCAAATTTATATACCAATGCCAATGGTGGAGAGATTGAAGGTTATTTTTTTAGCCTGTTTCTAAACCCTGTTAAATGCCATCCTCACAATTGCTTCTGTGCTTGATCCATCCTTACCTCCATGGAACACTCTGGCAGCTTGAACTTGATTAAACATCCAAACAAGATGCACTGATAATTACACATGGTTATAACACAAAAGCTGCTGAGGATAGTGGTGGTTGTTAGGTACTATCAAGTCAGTAACTACACACATGGACCTCACTAGATGCATTAAACATGAATCAACATCAGTTGATTCATATCAATATCAGTCCAGGGGCTGCCTGAGGAACAGACCATTTTAAGTTCAATTTGAAACTGAAAAAATTTTAAGTCCATGAGACCAGAGAACAACCTTAAGTATATGTCACATGAATATAAATACTATCTAAAAATTATATTTTAACACAAGGAATTGTGGGCTGACTTCAATAGTATCAAGCATGGAAGCAGAAATGTTACTAAAAAGACAGGAAAGACCAAATGGGTGTCAGAAGACATTCAAACTTGATCTTGAATGTGGAAGAAATGATAAAGTAAAAGCTGTTAAAGGGCTGCTTGACAAGACCAAGTAGTTATAATGAAACATGCAAAGACCTGGAGTTAGAAGAAAACCAAACAGGAAGAACCACTCCGCATTTCTCAAGCACAAAGAGCTGATGAAAAAAGTCAAGGCTCAAATTACATAATCTACGGGCAAAATACTGAAGCATTACATGATGAAAGCAATAGTCACAGTACAGTAAGAACTGGCTAAGCATACGGTACTGAAGTTCAAACTCAACCCGAAGGCACTGGTGGAAAACATGACTCTCGGAATTGACGGAATACCAATGGACACGGATACCAACACTTGAAGTACTCACTCACCTATGCCAAAAAATGTGAAAGATAGTTACCTGGCAGATCCACTGAATGAGATGCTTATTTGTGCCCACTCCAAAGGTAACCCAGCAAAATGCAGAAATTATCAGTATCACACACGTGACATTTTACTGAAGAGGATTAAAGTTGCATTGCATCAAACTGGAACTGCCAGAAATTCACGCTGGATTCAGAAGAGGCTGTGAAACTAGGTATATTTAGCTGATATCAGATGGACATTGGGTGAAATAGCATAAAAATGTCTACCTGTATTAGTAGACCTGTATGGAAAGGCTTCCACTTATGTGTATCCTAAAACTTCAAGTTAGTCACCTGAAGATACCACCTGTGTATAACAAGTTATCAAGAATTTTTATCTCAGGTACAAATATTAGCCAAGCCCTAACAAAAGTCCATTTTTTATTAACATTGCATTTTAAGCAAGTTACTTCAGTAAATGAGATTAAGAATATTAAGCTAGTACATAATACCTATCACTTTCCTACAAAGTACCTTAGCTAGTTATATGTGTATCTTGGGCAAGTTCTTGGTCTGTATGCCGAATAGTGTACTGTCCTGACTCTAGCTGCACTCATCTTTGAAGCGTACAAGTTCCAACTTGTTTTCAATCAAGTTCTTCCACTCCAAACCCACCCTCCTGAACAGTTCATGGCACTCCACAAATGCTTAATTTTCCCAAGATCTCCAAATAACGTACTAGCAGATGTACCATTTGCTCTTATGACTCAGCCATAGTAAGATCTAAGTATTCAAACATACAACTCTACCTGGAAGGAAAACCAAGTGACTTTTCCAGTTTCAAGTCAGAAGTCACTTTCAAACCTTCCTGACACAAACTAGAAATGCTACATTTAACATCAGATCCCATCAAGTGATCTGAAAAATAAGTACTAGTATATATAATGCTGTACTGAGATAAACTAGAATTCTCATGAATGAAACCCTGATAACTCTGGAAAATTAAGATTGTATTTGTTTTACTTTCAACAGAGGGTCTGTGAGGTGAAGGGAAAAAATGCAGGTAAATGAAATATGTAACAAAATATTAAGATATTAATGTCACCAAAAAAAACAGCTAAAAGCTAGACAATGAGAAATTTGGACTTTTGAAAAACCTACTGAATGAGGGACAGAGAACAGAAATGGTCTGTCCTCAGCTATGCTGCTGCTAGTGAGTCAAAGGAATCAATTCTTCAGTCCTAACAAAACTACCATGTGACAAACACTTCATGATCTAGGACTACTGTACAACTGTTCTATGTAAGATTAACATGAGTGGATGCCAAGCACTGAATCTTGATAATGTCAATTATTTCATAAATACTGTTAATATTTCGATAAATCAGGGCACAAGTGGTTTTATGTTTGCATTGCTTCCAATGGCTATTCAAACATGTTCTGGGGTTTATAACTCAATGCTCAATGTATGCTTTTCCTCATTGCATTTAATCACTTCTGTTTTAAAGACGGGAAAAGGATTCTTTTTTGATTTGACTTTTTAAATTATGCTATTTGGTCTGAAGAAGAAAGTTATCAAGGAATAAAAAGTGTCACTAACACTGCCAGTTAACCACTTTTCCCCCAAAACCATCTTGTTAGGAGCTAATCCAGACATCATACCATCCATGGTTCAATCATCAGTGTTGTGCAATTGCTACCCAAACCAGGTTTTGAAACATTTCCCTCTTCCTTGATAGCGGCTTCCCCTTAGTCCACCTCCCCCATCATAACCACCAGGAACCCTAATTCTACTTGTCTCTATAGATTTTTTTTAAGTCATCCTACAGGTAATTTAAAAACTGCTTAGTAAAAAATAGACAAAACTTAAGTTTCTTAATCCCATCATTTCCAACAAGGGTCTAAATTAAATGGATTAATTATCTTTACCCACTCCTCAGAGCCACAAAGGCATCAACTTCACTAGTGTAACTTCTAAAATCAATACGGTGATGACTCACTTAGTTGTCACCACTGTATTAATTTAAAAGCTGAACCTACATTGAACGTTTTCCCCTTCTAGCTAACACCCTTTAAAACTACATAGACTGCATTTAGTTTTTCACACTACATTTATTTCATTTTGCCTAACCAGAAATGAGACCTTTCCTTTTCAGGGGAGAGGGATTAAGGAACCATTCTTGGGGGGGGGGGAGGCCTAGGAAAGTCAATGTGACACAGGTAACACAGGTAAGCACATACTTTATCCCAGCTGACATGATTTTGACAACATCAACTTAGTTTTAGTGTCCTTTCACTTAGTCCAGCGGATTTTTTCTTACAAATCTTTCAAAATACACATTTTACAAGCATGTATCTGGTTTTAGAAATAATTTTAAATCCATAAACTTGATTCTATACAAACCATTGAGAATCAAGAAAGCAAGGCTTATCCATAGAATGTAGACTTTACAACTAGTGTACTCATCAGGTTTATCAAGTTGAATCCCTAATGACATGGTGAAATAGTTCATATGAGGTATACCTTTATTGCATTAAAGGGCTCTTTGGGAATAAAAAACATGTCACATGCACCCTTTTATTGACGTTCTGAAATTTGTGAAGTTAAAAGAAACATGCTTGTAAACTTTGTTCTTCTTTGTAGAAGAGTAAAATCAGAGTTTATGTATTCTTCCATGCAAACCATACTTGTTTTTTAAAAAGACCAATGACAGTTACTAAACAGACACATACATACATGCTTTTTGGGCAGTTTATTTTATTACAGCTTTTCTTGATTTGACTTTAGAAATTTACAGCATCAAAATTGTATTTTATCAAAAAAGAAATAAATTTTGAAGTTGCTCCCCACTGTTATACACATAACAACCCATAATTTACGTCTAATTTAAACAGTTAGTAAACCCTCTGGGATCTGTATTGTTCACAGTATGTAAAATATGCAAACCAACTTTGTTAAAAAGAAAATCCATTTCAAGTATCTGCAAGACTCAAAAATAACACACACAATCACATAATTTATCATTTTATTAGGAATAATTCCAAATGGGTTATGAATAAACTTATTCATTAAGTTGGATGAGCTTTTCAAAATCTCATAATGAAGATATGTTCACTAATAATCAATAAAACATCAGCAGTATTATGATACTGGGCAAAGAGGCTGATACCAAAAGCAACATGCAACATAAAAAAGATACAATCAGAGGAAGACAATCTGCTGAGTATTAAAAACCATCTCAATAGAAATCCTTTGCAACCAACGCAGAATTAGCTATGGCTCCAAACCATACCAGGGACGTTTGGCTGGTGGAAGCCAGGCGTCACTCAGGGGGGCAGGAGTGGGTATGGGTGTCCGCAATGCTTCAAGGGATTTGATAGTGTTTTGGAGCATTTCCCTGGCTGCCACAAGCAGTGTTAGAAAATCTTTTGGGCAAGGGAAATAAATATAAATGGAATGCTAATCTTTTAATCAGCAGACTGTCCCAGGAATGATAAAGGTATCAGAGTGAAGTAGTAAGGGGGTAACTTCAAAACATTGTTGTGGGCTCAAGACATTCAAAACCAAAAGTGTTAAATTGATATGTTTTGCTGTGTATATTCTCGACAACAAAATAAATTAAATTTGGAAATGGAAAAATAACATTAAATATCTTTTGGAACAAGGTGGAACATGCATAATATAGTGCTAAAACCTAATTTATGTTTCTCACAGAAGTTACTTGTTTTATGAAATTATAACAATTTTGTTAGAAAGACATTCAAAACGGATTTACTTAAAGGTGTCACATAGCTATGGCCAGGCATTTAGGCTTAAGGGAAGTGAAATTAAAAGAGGACACCTTTTTCCCCCAAGGTAAGAACAATTTCTTTGAAACCAAGCATATTGCTAAATAGCAACATTCCACTTGGTTAACAATAATTGGCAACAAAATAAGTTCAAACGCTGTAATATTCTGCCCAAAACCAGTTCCATATACTGTTTAATAACCAAGATGCAAACTAATTTTGTTGTAACAAGCCTAGACCAATTCAATCAAATTATGTCCTTGGTTAGATATCCAGTTTCATTTAACGTTTCGATAGCTCATTTGACAGCCAGTCAAGTCCCTCATACAGACCAGTTCCTTGTGTAGCACAAGTGGCTTGAACATACCACTGTAAAGAGAGGACAAGAAAATACTTGATCAACAAGGTTATATATAACCAGCATCTAAAATCCTTATATACATGTTTGGATTAGGTAAAAGCTTACATAGCAAATTAGATTACCAATCAACAGTTAGCACACAAATTGTTATATCCACACTGGTTACAAGCCCGCATTGCCAGAATTCTCACCATTTCTACCCAGCCTGCACCCTGCTTCCCCATCCATCCAGTTTCCCTGCTACTCCTTGCCTTGTCATCTTTGCTTTTGGGTAAATGTTGACCTTTTGGTCTCAGACAGTGTGAGTGTTAAAAGGATAAAATTTCTTAAGTAGAAAATAAAATATTTCCCTCAAATTTCATGTTGAGTCACTATAAACAAAACAAAAAACCAACTGTCATCAAGTCCTTTCTATTTCATGGAGACTCTCCCTCAGGAGATGGGTTTCTGAGGCAGTACATCTTTATGGGAGTAGACAGCTTTGTCTTGCTCCTTCAGAGCAGCCAGTGGATTTGAACTGCTTAGCTTGTGGTTAACAGCCCAACATATAACCTACGAGGCCACCAGGACTCCTCTAGTGAGTCATCAGTTGGCATAAATGTTAAGAAAAGTATAAATAACACGAGAGAGAGGGGGGCAGGATAAAAAGTGGGAAAGTATAGTTTAAAATGGAAGCTTTACACGAATTTTTAAAGCCCCTTTGTTTAAATACATGAATTGTGTACAAACATGTCAAAATGTTATATATCTCACTAGCAAATAATAACTACATCTGCAAGTTGATCAAAATGATCTATCCTGTAGATTGGTAATCTTCATCCCGTGCCCCGCCCCCCACCCCCCACCTCCTGTTTCTCCTTAAGAAAAAAATCCCAAAACTTAATCTACTTCTATTCCCACCTGTTCATTAGACTTTATCGATCATCTACTACTTCATCTAAAAAGACCATTCATGGGGAATTAGTAACTGATAAAACTACCCACTTGGTCATTTTAACCTTGTTTTCCATAAAACTAAATTCAAAGTAGAAGAGGCAAAATTTTGAAACGGTAAAGAGGACTGCTGATATTTTAGGGGCGAGCTTTTCAGAAAACATTGGGCTTTAGTCTCATGGTATCCCAAAAGTTTCGATTCTAAATACATACTACAGTGCCATTCAGTATTTGAGGACCCTACATGCCAGTAACTTAGAAGATTGTGGAAAGGCATAAACATATATCCTTCACAACACCAAAAACTTTATCATTTACACCTGGGACATCTAAGTCTAAATTGATTTACTGCCACAGCTCAGTAATTTGCCTTGTTGACAAGTTACTGCGAGATGACTGTAAAATGATACATTGTTTATGATGCCTTTATATAAAACAGCACATGATTGTTTGGGGCCAGTATTTCAATCACTGTTAAGTTATTTGAGAGCAAACATATTCTCTTATATATTTCAAATACCTTAGAATCTTTTTTAATTAGGGGTTCTTCCAAAAGCTTTTGATATGAACATGCCAACAAACAATACTAAACAATATAATCTGTAATACAGCTGTCAGCGCATTTTTTTAAAATTTCTTTTGACTTACTAGGCTAACCAAATTATAAAGTATTTCCTCTTAAGCTAGATAAACTAAAAATGAAGAATATATCAAATCTTTAAATATCTCAATTCTCTTATAGTGCAGGTTTCCACATTGTTATCAATTCTAAACCTTCTGAGAATAAAGTTAACAGCTCTAAAATAAAGCCTGAAATGGCTGCTTTTTATGTGACCAAGACAGTATGCCAATGTTTTAAAGGCTATGTATGTATTTATTATCTGTTCAAGCAGTAAAATTCATGTTTACATTTAATACTAAAACAAAACCCCTAAACTCACTAACATCAAGTTGATTCTGACCCTTTAAAACAGGACAGAACTTCCCTGTGCATTTCTGGGACCATAACTCTTTACAGGAATATAAAGCCTCATCTTTCTCCCAAGAAATACTAGACTGATGTAAATCTCCAAGTACTTACTGTTCTGTTACGAAGAGACTGGAGGCCCAACTTATCTGTCATTTCACTGATGGCCATTGCATTTGGCAAATCCTGTTTGTTTGCAAAAAGCAGCAGTACTGCATCTCGCAACTCATCTTCTTGAAGCTGAAAATATAAAGCAAAAGCATTAAAAACTATCAAACTGGAATAGAATTATTGCTTAAAAACCTCACACACACAACAGGGTGAAACTCTTAATTTCCTATAAGTAAAATTAAATAAATTACTAACCATCAGCCTAAAATTTTTTATTAAAAGATTGTTTTATTGGGTGCTCTTACAGCTCATAAAAATCCATACATTAATTATATCAAGCATATTTGTACATATCTTGCCATCATTATTTTCTAAACATTTACTTTCTAATTGAGCCCTTGGTTATCAGCTCCTCTATTTTCTCTTCCCACCTTCACCCCCTCGTGACCCCGATAAATTATTCTTATCTTACACCGACCGCTGTCTCCCTTCCCCCACGGCTTCTGCTGTTTGACCCCATGGGGGTTGGGGGTTATGTGTTGATCATTGCAATCAGTTCCCCCCCTCCTCCCCACCTCTCCCTACTCTCCTATTATCACTACCATTCCTGTGCCTGGATTCCGTGTGTCACGAGTTCTTATATTTTATCTGTACTTATATACATGCTCCGGTCTAGCCTTCAGTGAAAGACAGAACTGGGGTCATGATAGTGGGGGGTGATGAAGCATTATGGAACCAAACGAATATGGTGTTTCATCAGTGCTATACTGTACCCTGGTTGACTCATCCCTTCCTTGTGACCCTTCTGTGAGGGAATGTCCCATTGTCTACAGATGGGTTTGGGGTCTATGCTCCAACCCCCTCATTCTCAACTATATGGTTTTGTTTGTTTTATGTCTTCTGATTCCTGTTATCCAATCCCGTTGACACTTCATGATCATACTGGCTGGTGTGCTTCTTCCACGTGGGCTTGTTGCTTCTCTGCTAGATGGTCGCTTGTTTAACTTCAAGCCTTTAAGACCCCAGACTTTTGATAGCCAGGTACAATCAGCTTTCTTCACCACATTTGCTTATGTACCCATTTTGTCTTCAGTGATCGTGCCGGGAGGGTGAGCATCACAGAATGCCAGATTGTTAGACCAAAGTGTTCTTGCCTTAAGGTAGGGCTTGAGCAGAACCCAAAGTCCGTCCACTACCTCAGGGTATTGCCATATAAATATATGTAGTCTAATACCTCTATTTTTATTAATGTGTTTACATATATACACACCTAATATCAGCCTAAATTAATTCTCAATAAAGGTTCAGGTTCTTTCATACCTTAAATCTCATATCCTTCAGTTTTCAAATCTAGTGCGAAAATTAAATGCCTTCAAATAAAATGAAATTTTCTCAAGCCAACCATCCTAATACGGTATACAACTCTCTTATGGTATACAACTCTTAAGCCTTCCGGATGAACTCTTGAGGGTCAGGACTGCCAAGAAGAAAATGGGAATAAAGTGTGTAAAGCCTAGTGGGGTGCTGTATGTTAGGCAATGCTGGGCTACTAACAGCATGGTTGGCATTCAAACCCACCAGCTGCTCTTTGGGAGAAAGGCTAGCTGCTTCCAGAAAGTCTCAGAAATCCTGTAACAGGGTGGCTCTGAGTTGGAATGGACTCATGGCATCTTTCAGGACATTCATCCTTTCTAAGCAGCTAGATAGCCAAACAACGGTAAAGCATCCCAACTTTAGGCACAGTGGTTAAAGTGCTCAACTAACTACTAACTAAAGGTCAGTGGTTCAATCCTATCATCCCCCCAAAGGAAAAAGATGTGGCAGTCTGATTCCCCAGGGATGTACTCTTGAAACCTGTACAAGTCAGTGCTTGTTCGACAGGGTCACTGTGAAGCAGAACTGACTCGACAGCAATGGGCTTGGCTTTAAAAGTTCTTGTTTGTGTGGCAACATCAAGACAAATATAAGATAGTTTTAAAAGTCGATACTGGTAAGAATGAGGAATACAAAAAAAGAAGAGGAATATATGATGAAACATACATGAACATCGAAAAATTATGTTACATGAAGGAAGCTAGTCATAAAACATCACGTTATACACAAGAGGAATCAAAAGTTTATGGGAAAGTTCTTTTAATTCCATTTTTCCAGGGACTTTTTGAAGACTTCTCCTATGACTTTATTTAAATAGTAAGAATAGGTTAGAGAAAATTTCAAAAAGATTTAAACTATAAAACCACAAAGTCGATTAATGGTTGTCAGGTGTTACCACAAGGAGCCCTAGTGGTGTTCTCAGATAGGCGTGGAACTGCAAACCCACCCACTGCAGTTCCCTAGGAGAAAGGCACTTGCCTGATCGCACCAAACATGTATAGCAGGGGTCCTCAAACTTTTTAACCAGGGCCCAGTTCACGGTCCCTCAGACGCTTTGGAGGGCCGGACTATAGTTAAAAAAAAAACAACTATGAACACATTCCTATGCACACTGCACATAACTTATTTTGAAGTAAAAAAAAAACCAAAGGCAAAAACACCTGGCGGGCCATATAAATGTCCTCAGCGGCCACATGTGGCCTGTGGGCTATAGTTTGAGGACCCCTGATATATAGCCTCAGAAACCCTACAGTAACAGGTCACGGTAAGTCAGCATTGACTCCATGCCCAGTTAGCTTAGGTTTTTGTTTGTTTAGTTTTATTACTACACAGCAAGCACTCAGCTTGGAAGGGACACCTCCAGAGGAGGGAAATGGGGAGTGACAGAAAAGCTGTACAAGTAACACTGTGATACTGATTGTATAACTTTATAAATCTATTAAAAGTCACTGACATAAATTTTAACAAGGTGAATTTTTATTGAATTTTATCTCAATAAAGCTATGAAAAAGATAAAAAATTGGTGACTTATTTCATTAGTGGAGAAACTATTGATGGCTTAGATATACTGACACAATTGCTGTACAAGCTACGTGCTAAGGCCAGTAAATGAGATTTAAGAGATATTTTATGGCTACAAGTTTGAAACCATGATAAAACTGTTCTAAAAAAGCCCCTCAATAATGTCTCACCCCTCACAGGATTTTTAACAATATGAGAAATGAAAACACTAACCTGAGCAAGGCCAAAATGCTGTCAATTAAAATGCCACTACTATTACATAGAATTCTTTATAAAGGTTATTGTTACGAAACATTTCTAAAGTCATAACCCACCCACGGGGCATTCTAACAACTATTACGATTTCTTCCCATAAAATATCTTAGCCATTCTTATGTGCATAAAATGCACATGTAACAATCCATGGATAATAGTTCCTCGAGGTTCTTCCACAACGCCGGTAACATTCATTTATGTAATATAGTCATAGTCAAAATGTAGCAACTACTAAAGCTACTACCGCCACCCAGAAAAGTACCTCGGAAAAGAAGTTAATCTCTAGTGTAATCTTACCATTTTCTGCAGTTCTTCTGCTCCTTCTTGAATTCTTTCACGGTCATTGCTATCTACCACAAAAATAAGACCCTGTAGGAAAATTGTGTCAATAAATTATAACACTTAAAGAGCTCATTAAATAGGAAACTAAGTATAGGCAACAAAATCATATGAAGAGTTAAAAGGAAAAAGTCTCATTAAAAACAAAAAACACAAGACAGTAAATACTGAACTTCATTACCTCAACTCTAATGTTACCCAACTCACTGCTCTTCTCAGTTATGCCAAAGAAGCAATTTATCCCTTTCCCCAGCACACAAGGGCAGGAAAGTAGGAGTAAAATGACCACAAGGTGGGGACAAAAGGAAAAAAATAAACATTCTTAAAATCATAAACTTACTATTTAAGTTTATTTAAGCTTATTCCCTCACAGGCAAGCAAAGTGTAAAAAACTAAAAAGGACAGAGGTGGGGTGCGCCACACAAGCTGTTACATGCTTATCAGGAAATGTAAAGAAGAGAGCGCCTTGCCTCAGAATGCCACCTGCCAAGTCTGGAATCAGAGGGGGTAAGTCTTAAGCAATATATATCAAGAATAATCCAAAGTTCATTAAATCACTTAATAAAACCATAACAAAAAAGAAGTAAAAATTCTTAAAATACTCAAATACCTGAATTTTATACTCTCAGACAAAAGGGAAAGCAATTACAATGAATTAAAGACTTTCCACTAATGTTCAAATGAGAAAGCATAAAATTTTCAGCTAGAAAGGGGTGATTTCACTTTATTAGTTTTGTTAAGTTCTAATCTTGTAACTCTAAAATTAACTTTAAATACCGCATCCACTCAACTATAAGCTGACCCAAATATCAGCCAAGGCACCCAATTTTACCACAAAAACGGCATTAAAAATGTACTGAAAAACTCACCTTATACATGAGTATATACGGTACATTCTTCTCCATACAACTCTGAACTCCTTAAGTATTTTAGATCATTTGTTACTTTTTTTCATTCTACTTCTTTTTGATTTCTTTTTTAAAAAATCATTTTATTGGGGGTTCGTACAACTCATCACAATCCATACCTACCATTTGTTACTCTTATCACCACGTCTTATGCTGTTAACAGTGTAAGTAATGACATTCAATCCAGGGGGGGGTGGGGGGGGGCAAAAGAGTATTTTCTATTTAACACTCAGCACAGTATCAGGGCTTGCCAGAAGAATTTCATACTTAAAGTATGTTACAGTCATTAAATGACATTAACTTCTCTTGGTCTGGGCAAAATCCAATGACCATTTCCTTTATCTCTGGGGAAACCAACATTTTAAACACACATATTTAAACATATGATTCTACATCAAAATTCTTTTCCTTTGAGAAAGCTTTTGGTGCTTAAGAACCAGTTTGTGGTAGAAAGACAGTACCAGAGGCAAATCTAGCACTACTTCTCTAAAATAAACACCAATAACCTTATAAACTATAAAAGGATTAAATGTAACCTTGAGAGGTAGAACAGGATACAGCGTCATGTTTTACATTATTGCAGACATTTAATAAATGTCACAATCTCCTTTCCCAAAATTATTTTGAAAACATGAGGATTAGTGCCCCTCCCATTTTATCTTGGCTTGTAATATTCCATCTTTATTGTGCTTTAAAACGTAAATCCTGCTATGAACCCTAATGTGATATTATTGAGAGGGAAATTTAAGTAATAAATGACCAATTATTCCCTTTCTAATCAAGAGTGTAACAAGGTAATTTATTACTAGAAACACTGTGTCCTGAACTAATATAAATTAGTAATACAGTGAACTGACCTTTAAATATATTCCTTTAAGTTCTATAGCCAGAAGTTGATGAGTAATTCTAAAAGAAAGGTAAGAGTCTGTGCCTATCTAAACCAAACTCCCTGCCGTCAAGTCGATGACAACTCATGGCAACCCTATCGGAGAGGGAAGAATGGCCCCTGTGGGTTTCCAAGTCTGGAACTCTTGACGGGAGTAAAAAGTCACATCTTTCTCCCATGGAGTGATTGGCAGTTTTGCAATGCTGACCTTGTGGTTAACAGCCCACCACAGTACTAATAAGACACCAGCAAGGCTCCTTATCTGTGCTTATAGCAAGTAGCAAGTTTTCCAGAGGGCAGGAGCTCTCTCTCTAGTAAAAGCTTGTGATTAATAAAGTGGTCTAGAACGGCAGGAATAAAGCTAATCTCAACAATTTAAAGTAAATTATGAAACTAACTAAACAAGGATAAGGGCAGGGTTGCCCACTGCAAGGTTTGGGATTCTCAAACACACTGCCATCTTTTAAAAATAGCTATGGGAAAAAAAAAGAAAAAGAAAAAAAATAGCTATGTTAATAAATGCATTAACTTATAAGTTAGAAAGCATGTCACTTATTTAACACAACTCAGAGTACCCTGAGCCTTGATGGCACAGTGGTTAAGCATCGTGCTGCAATCTGCAAGGTGAATAGTTCAAAACTATCAGCTACTCCTCAGGAGAAAGATGAACTTTTCTATTCCTGTGAAGAGTTGCAACCTCAGAAACTTATATGGGCACAAAATCCCTCTATTTCTCAGAGCTTGAAAAGACGAAGACTGGAAAGCTGGTCATTACTCTTTTATTTCCAGTTACCTGGCCTCAATCGAGAGGCTCTGTTGGTGTAGTAGAGTTAAGGCACTCGGCTACTAATCCAAAGGTCAGTGTCTGGAACACACCAGCCACTCTAAGAATAAAGGTATGGTGGTCTGCGTCCATAAAGATGCAGAGCCTTTGAAGCTCACAGAGCAGTTCTACACTGTTAGGAGCCCTGGGTTTGGTAACATGTGCAGACAATTTTGGTTATCACAACTGGGTGGGATATTGCTACTGACATCTGGGAAGTCTTTCCACAAAAGGAGAATTTATCCAGTCTAGACCCTGGCTACTTACTCAGATAGGTCCTCAAAGCAGCAGCATAAGAACCACCTGAGTATGGATTGTTCTAAGAGCTCTAAGAGTCCCCAATAAAATTATCTTTAAAAAACAAAAAACACCTGAGAACTTACTAGAAAGGCAGAATTCTTGGGGCTTACTCATGAGCTAACAAATCAATCTATTTTGGCAAGATACTCAGATGACTCATGCACACTAACGATGGTGCAGTAAGCTACAAGTTGGGCTGCTAATAACAGGTAAGCAATTCGAAACCACCTGCAGCTCTGCAGGACAGATGAGGTTGTTCTATTCTCATCAAGAGTTACAGCCTTAGAAACCCCCAGCAGTTCTCCTGTCCCCTTCAGGGCCACTGTGAGTTACAGTAAAGTGACCAGATTTAGAGCGGGACACCAGTGATGGGGGTGGGGGTGGCGGGGTGTTCTTGATTAAAAATTTGGTCTATATGGACCAAATAGACCATTCCCTAGCTTGTCGTGCATTCTTTCCCAAAATCGGGACTTTTTAAAAACGCCAAAAATCAGGACTGTCCCGCCAAAAGCAGGACGTCTGGTCACCTTAAGTTAGAATCAACTTGATGACAATGAGTTTTAAGTTTGGCTGGCTTATATCGCTGAGTCTCTGATTAAGTAGCTGGGGCTATCTGGGCTGTGGGATTTTTTAAGTGCTCCAGGTGATTTTAATGAGCTGCCAAGCTTGGGAGCCTGTGCTTAATGCAATCACTACTTTTCTTTGCCTGTATTATAGGAGTAGGATTTTCTAAAAATCATTATCTTTTCATTCCATTTTACACAAACATTTCGAAGCACTGTCCAGTTGGTTCAATTCATGGCTGATTTTTTTGGGAAGGAAATCTCCAGGCCTTTTCTTAGTCCACCTTAGTCTGAGAGATCTGCTGAAACCTGCTCAGCATCACAGCAACACACCAGGGTTCAAAATAGGCCTCCCACATGGAAGGTGAGTGGGACATATGCACACGTTATCAAATATCTTAGATGTTAACAAAATATATCTAATGCATTTTCTTACTATTTTTAACACAGTAAAAAATTGAAATGGGCGAAATGGACTACTTCTTACATTCAATAAAGTAAACTACAGTGACAAAGTTATACAGATCTTATTTTCTAAACTAAATATGAAGCCATTCGAGATACTGATGTCTGACACTATTGGGAAGCCAGCCCTTTCTCCAACCAATTTTACGAAATCTTAGATGATCACAACAAATAATTCGTTCACCCCATATATTTTGGCCTTCAAAGCCTGGAGTATCCACTGAATATGGAATTGGTCATAAGAATGTCAACTCACATACAGTGAAACACAATAGCCAAATAAACATGTAAACTTTAGAACACAAAACATGATGTTATAAAAATAGATAGCACTCCTTACCTGGGTATTTTGGAAGTAATGCCTCCAGAGAGGCCTAATTTTATCTTGACCACCAACATCCCATACCGTGAAACAAATGTTCTTGTATTCTACTGTTTCCACATTAAAACCTTCAAAGAAAACCAAAAAATGACCACGGTGCACAATAAACTACCATTAAGAAAATAAACCCCCTTTCTGTGAAATTGGTTTTTTTAAGTTCTGCTAATGTTCAATGAATTAAAAAGTAAATGTTTCAAAAAGTAAGTTTTTCTATATTAAATTATATTTCACACTTTATAATACATGACATAAATTAAAAATAATTTATCAACTTCCTTACCAATAGTAGGAATGGTGGTGACTATCTCTCCTAACTTCAGTTTATACAGAATGGTCGTCTTGCCAGCAGCATCCAATCCAACTAAGAAAAGAGGGTGAGATTTTAGATTTTAAATCTAGACTAAAGGATACATTGAGACCTCATTTCTGATTCCTAGACAAAAGCAAATAGCACAAAGCTGTGGAATTGAAGAGTAGTGCTTGACTGCCTCAGGGTCCTGTCTCTAGCTTTGCCCAAAACTAGGGGCATGCCTGTAAGCAAGTACTTGAAGAAATCAAGATCAAGGAATTAGTCAAAGTAAGGGGACTGAATCAGATCATCTTACGATCTATCCCAACTCAAGCCCTTATTCATTCTATGAACAGCCAGGTTTTAAGACAAGTTAAAATTGAATCACCAAACGCATCAAAATAAATGAAGAACTGTCTTATTAGATTAGTAAATATAATTTCCTTTAATTTACAAAGTTTGGGTAAAAAGGTCTTGATTGGGGATGGGAGAATTAACTATCCCCTAGTCCCTTCATAATAATAAAGATGAGGCAAATCGTGGTGAGCCCTGCACATTGAAACAAAGTCCTGCACTAGGTGCCACTGTAATCATACAGTATCCATTGGCTAGTTTTTCAGGAGTAGAGAGCCAGCCCTTCATTCCTCTTGGCATCACTCAATCATCTGACAAAGGGGTGTGGTGGCTGTGCACAAAGTGCAAGCCAAGTGCAGCCCTAAGTCCATTTCAACATCAGATGTAAGGAAATGAGAATGAAATCTTGGGTAATGTGAGCTGTAGAAATGTCTTTACTATATTCATCTCCAATATAAGTAATGCCTAGAATTTTTAAAGTATTCATTTGAGGCAGCTATATAAGCAGGGAGCAATGTATTCGTGAAAAATTCCACAAAAGTACAAGAAGTATGCCTTTTTAGCAGTGATTAAAAACAAAACAAAACCCACCACCAAATAATGCCAACCCCAAGGCCACTCTCCTTAAGTGGATTCCAACTCAGAGCAACCCAATATCTGAGGGTGTACCCCCCAAAAAGGAAATTTTTTCCCAAAGCTGTGTATTGCTTTTACAAAACAACCATATCATCTTCCAAGTACTCCATTACACTTAAGACATTTGTCAAATCTGCAATTATATTCTTGGAAACATTTTTCAAACTCATCTGTTTGATTGGCTGACAGCACCTCCCTCATTTTTTTCACCTCTTCTACGTCTTCAAATTGCTGTCTTTCATGTCCTTCACTCACAGAAACAAAAAAGAAGTCACACTGGAACAAGGTCAGGTGAGACAGGTGTGTGGGGCAGGTGAGACAAGATGGCGCACTGAAATGTTTGTGTGAGCAGGTACATTGTCGTGGTGGCAAACCAGCCCCATTATGCAATCTTTTCAGAACCTCTAACTAGAGAGAGCTTGATTAACAGTCTGACCTGGTGGGATGAACTCCAATGTACTTTAAGTCGACATTTTCATCTATTTGGGAAGTTGATGGATGTCCAGAAAGAGGTTTGTCATCAATAGACATTTCACCTTTTTTGAAATGAGAAAACCACTGGTACATTTGAGTTTTTCACATAGCGCTATCCTTGTAAGCTGTGTCCAACATCACAACAGTTTCTGTGGCATTTTTCCCTGAGCAGGAAACAAAATTTCACAGCCACACGCGGTTCTCTTATATCAGCCATCATAAAACTTTACGAAAAAAATTCACTGCAACCAGAGAGAACCTTCCCAGGTGATGCCACTGGGTGGACTAAGAGCGAGCTCACCCAGTGCTACAAAAGCTCTGCCCAAAGGAGCTTTATTTTGGGTAAACCCTTGTAGGATTTTAGAGACTACAAATTTTCACGAGCCACATCTTTCCTCCAAGATAGTAGTGATAATGAATAGCAAATTAAATACTTAAGAAGTATGAATTGGGGAAAAATAAAGTATGAATTGAATTAAAAAGCAAGGACTTTCAAATCATGCATATTCTATCAGTATCTAATAACCTCAATAAATGTATCATACTTGACTGTCGAGATTAATGCTATAACAAATTTTGAAATCAATTCAAGGAATATTTATATAGGACACTTTTAAATACTTAAACAACACGACTTAGCATGAGATCAATTCCTTAAAGGGAACTAAAATCACTTCATCATATTTACATTTTTGTGCAAATACTTGTAGCACTCAAAACCAAACTCACTGCCATCAAGTTAATTCCAACTCATACCGATCTTTATAGGGCAGGGTGGACCTGCCTTTGTGGATTTCCAAGACTGTAACTCTTTATGGGAATAGAAAGCCTCATGTGGCTGCTGGGTTTCAAACCAATGACTTTGCAATTAGCAGCCCAATGGGTATGCCACTACGCCACCATGGCTCCTTAACAGAACCAAGACTATGCGGAGGGAACTCCTGTACAGAGTCACACCCTTGGAAATCCAGTGTCAGTTCTACCCTGTCCTATCGGGCGGGTCACTATAAGTTGTACAACTTGATAGCAGCCTTTTGTTTTTTGTTTTTTTTTAAGCAATCCAAGCTCTTTCTACCTGTGTGACAATACATTTTGCTCGGTGCCCTCCTAAGGATAGCTGTAGGATCCCTCTAGACTGGAGACTAAAATTCCCAGTGCCTTCGTATTCCTTCTCCTCTAATCAAACCCTCTGTCCTACCTTCTGAGTATCAGATTTATTCTTCTGAAAATACTACATTTTAAATAGTAAGCAATCTACCCAAACATTCATCCATGGGCAGAAAAAAAACTGCTAAGCCACATATTATTATTATAGTTAATAGTAGTAGTAACTGTAGTACAAGAGGGGCCTCAAAAAGTTTGTGGGAAATGCCAATTTAAAAATGGTATTTTTACAAAAATTTTTTTGAAGCATCCATGTATAGAACAGTATCAAAAAGGTCAGAAAATATCCACTGCATCAGTCCATCTTATTAGTCTATTGACCCTCTACCAAATTCTTGATAGGTGGCATAGGGGGTTACTGTTAGGCTACTAACTTCCAGGTCAGCAGTTCAAACTTACCAGGCGCACTCCTATAAAGAGTTACAGTTTCAGAAATCCAAAGAGTTCTACTCTGTCCTCTAGGGTTACTTACTATAAGTCAGAATCAACTTGAAGGCAGTGTGGTTAGTTTGGTTCTCTCCTGATAACCTGTCTAAAGTATGTGAGACAAAGTCTGGCCAACCTAGTTTCTAAGGAGCCTCCTGACTGTACTTCTTTGAGGAAAATTTGTTTACTGTCTGGCAACCAGTTCTTCATCAATACCATAATTCAAAGGCATCAGTTCTGCTGTCTTTCACAAGCACATGAGGCAACTGAAAATACTATGGTTTGGATATCAGAGTGACATCTTTGCTCCTTAACACCTTAAAGGCTCCCCCATCATGGAGTCTTGGTTGTGTAGTGGGTTATCCACTGAGCTACTAATTTTAAGATCCTTGGCTGGGAGCCACCAATTTGTTTCCATAAAGGTTTAAAAATCTCAGAAATACAGAGAGACGCTTCCAGCTCAATGACAGTGGGTTTAGTTTCTGTGCCCGTAACAAAAGCAGCTTTGCTCCACCCACATCAAGGCTGTTTCAACTTTGAGGAGGTAGCAGTCCTCAGCCATGTTTTGAGTGCCTTTCAACCTGAGAGGCTCACCTTCGGGAACTATTCATAAGGTTTTCAGAGGCTAATTTTCCAAAAATGGACCACCTATACTTTAAATCAGAAAAACCAAAGGAGAGGCATGGTGCGCCTTTTCAGGCGCTTCATGTGAGACCAGTTTACTGGCAGGACTGTAGAATGCCACATACATTCAAAGTGGTGAAGTCAGACACCATCTCTGAAGCCCTGCTTTTGTTATGTAAACTTGTTGTTTGTCCTTACTTTGACATATCAAAAAAACCCAAAACCAAATTCACTACCACCAAGTCATTTTTGACTCAAATCGACTCTATAGGACAGAACAAAGCTGCCCCCATGGGTTCCCAAACTGTGAATCATTACGGGAGTAGAAAGTCTTAGCTTCCTCCCTCAGGGCAGCAAGTAGCCCAAGGCCTAATTTCTCTACACTGGCAGTTCTCAACCTGTGGGTCGCGACCCCTTTGGGGGGGTCGCCAAAGACCATCAGAAAACATAAATATTTCACAATATATAATTACATATTGTTTTATGATTAATCACTATGCTTTATGTTCAATTTGTAACAATGAAAAGACATCCGGCATATCAAATATTTACATTACGATTCATAACAATAGCAATATTATAGTTATGAAGTAGCAACAAAAATAATTTTATGGTTGGGGGGTCACCACAATATGAGGAACTGTATTACAGGGTGGCATCATTGGGAAGGTTGAGAGCCACTGGTCTACACCCTACTCTACACCTGGGGCTTCTCCCAACAAATTCCCATCACAATCACCTGTACTTGCTTTGCATCCTGCTTTTAAATCATTGGTAAAGGTTGGAGCCTTCATGTACTAATAAGCAAGCCAATCAATAAACTCACAGCCATGGAGCTGATTCTGACTCATAGTGGCCCTATGCACTACTGTTCCAACTGATCTATAAATTAAAGACACAGGCACAGATCTCATTTTTTGTTTGTTTTGCTCAATCTGTTTTTTAAATTTATTTATTTTTTAATCATTTTATTAAGTGCTCATACAACTCTTCGCACAATCCATACACACATCAATTGTGTAAAGCGCATTTGTACATTCACTGCCCTCATCATTCTCAAAACATTTCCTCTCCACTTAAACCCCTGGCATTAGGTCCTCTACAGATCTCATTTTAACATGTGAACTGCCTATAAATCTATGAAGGGAAATTCAGGCCAAATATTTTAACTTACTACACAAGATGTGATATAATTTTTCTATTAATAGAAGCTTAATATCTGCTTGCATGAATATTCTTCCACTTCTACATTAGAATTTTTCTCAAATACATTATTTTTACCTAAAAAAATAATTTCCCCAGGAAGCAAATTTATTAGAATCTCTGACATGTCTGCACTAAGGCCTTGAATATACTTATACTAATTTTCATTTTTTTAAGTGTTTACAAAACAG